GTACAAGATTGCAAGAGGTTTTACTTGTAGAGGCAACTCCAGAAAGTGTAAAAGATGAGCATGAAGTGGAGGATTTTGAAGAGGCAGTGGGTGATTTGGATGAAACAAGTAGCAATGAAGAGGGAGTGATAGATTCCAAAGTTGATTATCCGGTAAACGCTCAAGAGGCTGAACCTGATTTCGTGACACCCGAAATGAATGGTGATAAAGGGGAAGGAGGAGCAGAGATTTCCGATGGTCAAATTGAATCAAGTTTGGATGTGGTTGAGAACGGTGAAAATGCTAATTCCAATGGTTCCAGTTTAGCAGCTGATGATGTGAATATGGAAAACGGGAATACAAATTCTTTTTTGGAAAACGGAATCGGCTCTCCTAAGCATGAAGAACTAGTGGGTGAAGTTATCTCGAAAAGTGTTGGACCTGAGGAACCTTGGGATGATGGCATTGAAGTCGAAAACTGGGAGGATAGAGTTGATGCCTCAGATGGCATACAAACAGAACAAGAGGTTGAGGAGGATGAAGTAACAAATAAGAATGGCTCTGAGGCAAAAGGAAATGGTGAGAGTGGTGCCGACTACGCAAGTGATATTATTGAAAATGCTTCAGGTGAGAAATCCTTGAATGATAGTACTAGAGTAGCTAGTGTTGGGACCTCATCGCCATCGGAGAAGTCTAGTTCCGAGAAAAATGATGGTATTGGAGTAGCTAGTGTTGGGACCTCATCTCCATTGGAGAAGTCTAGCTCCGAGAAAAAAGGAGAGACTGAAGGTGACAGTAATTGTTTGAAACAAGAGCATCAGTTGGCTTCTTCACTTAACTCAAATCTGGAGTCTACCGAAGTTACCAGCAATAGTGGCTCCACTGGGGTAAATAGTAGAGAAAACAAGACAGTTCAAGATGCTAATGGAGAGCATGATGTTCAACAGAGTACTCAACGTAACAGGGAACTTGAAAATCAGCAAAGCAGCAAAGTAAATACAGATCCAGAGACTAAGGAAAGATCACATGTGGAAAGAGAATCTGAGGTAATAAGTTCTGTCTCATCAACGGAGTCTAGAAGCAATCCTGCAGCAGTATCACCTGTTCGTCCAGCAGGTCTTGGCCGTGCTGCTCCTCTTTTGCAACCTGCACCACGTGCTCCTCAACAGTCTCGTGTCAATGGAAATGTGTCTCACAATCAGCCTCAGCAAGCTGAGGATTCTACCACTGCAGAGACCGATGAGCATGATGAAACCCGTGAGAAGCTCCAGTTGATCAGGGTAAAATTTTTGAGGCTTGCACATAGACTAGGGCAAACTCCACATAATGTTGTAGTTGCTCAGGTTCTATATAGGCTTGGATTGGCCGAACAGTTGAGGGGTAGAAATGGAAGCCGTGTTGGTGCCTTTAGTTTTGATCGTGCTAGTGCCATGGCAGAACAGCTTGAGGCAGCTGGACAGGATCCACTTGATTTTTCTTGTACAATTATGGTGCTCGGTAAAAGTGGGGTTGGTAAAAGTGCAACGATCAATTCTATATTTGATGAAGTGAAATTTGGTACTGATGCATTCCAAATGGGGACAAAGAGGGTTCAAGATGTTGAGGGTTTCGTTCAGGGAATTAAGGTAAGGGTAATTGACACTCCCGGTCTCTTACCGTCTTGGTCTGATCAAGCCAAGAATGAAAAGATCCTAAATTCTGTTAAGGCTTTCATCAAGAAAAATCCACCAGACATTGTACTATATCTTGATAGGCTGGATATGCAAAGCAGAGATTCTGGTGACATGCCTCTCTTGCGCACCATCAGTGATGTTTTTGGGCCATCTATATGGTTTAATGCCATTGTGGGTTTGACTCATGCCGCTTCTGTTCCACCAGATGGCCCAAATGGCACTGCTTCTAGCTATGACATGTTTGTAACACAACGTTCTCATGTTATTCAGCAGGCCATTCGCCAAGCAGCTGGAGATATGAGGCTCATGAACCCTATTTCTTTAGTTGAGAATCACTCTGCTTGCAGAACTAACCGGGCAGGTCAGAGAGTGTTACCGAATGGCCAAGTGTGGAAGCCTCATTTGCTGTTACTCTCATTTGCATCTAAGATTCTAGCAGAAGCAAATGCTCTTCTAAAATTACAAGATAATATTCCAGGGAGGCCATTTACAGCTCGGTCCAAGGCTCCGCCATTACCATTTCTTCTTTCAACCCTTCTGCAATCAAGACCACAGCCTAAGCTTCCAGACCAGCAATATGGCGATGAAGAAGACGAAGATGATTTGGACGAATCATCGGATTCTGATGAAGAATCAGAGTATGATCAGCTTCCTCCCTTTAAGCGGTTGACTAAAGATCAAGTGGCTAAGCTCAGCAAGTCTCAGAAGAAGCAATATCTCGATGAGATGGAGTACCGGGAGAAACTATTTATGAAGAAGCAAATGAAAGAGGAAAGAAAGAGACGTAAAATGTTTAAGAAGTTTGCTGCCGAGATTAAAGATTTGCCGAACGAGCATACTGAGAATGTGGAAGAGGAGAGTGGTGGACCTGCATCAGTTCCAGTTCCCATGCCAGATTTATCTCTACCTGCGTCTTTCGACTCTGACAACCCTACCCACCGTTACCGCTACCTTGATTCCTCCAATCAATGGCTTGTTAGGCCGGTCCTGGAAACTCATGGGTGGGATCATGATATTGGTTACGAAGGTGTGAATGCGGAACGACTCTTTGTTGTTAATGACAAAATACCAGTATCTGTCTCAGGCCAAGTGACAAAGGACAAGAAGGATGCAAATGTGCAGCTGGAAGTGGCCAGCTCCATTAAACATGGAGAGAATAGATCAACTTCCCTAGGTTTTGACATGCAAACTGTTGGAAAGGAATTGGCTTACACTGTTCGAAGTGAAACAAGATTCAATAATTTCAGGAGAAACAAAGCTGCAGCTGGTCTCTCTCTAACGCTCTTGGGTGATTCGGTGTCTGCGGGGCTGAAAGTTGAAGATAAGTTGATTGCTAATAAATGGTTCAGAATGGTTATGTCTGGTGGAGCAATGACTAGTCGGGGAGATGTTGCATATGGTGGTACTTTAGAAGCTCAGTTGAGAGATAAAGATTACCCGCTTGGTAGGTTTTTGACTACTCTTGGACTTTCTGTGATGGATTGGCATGGTGATCTTGCTATCGGAGGGAATATACAGTCTCAGGTCCCCATTGGACGTTCCTCAAATTTAATCGCCCGTGCTAATCTGAACAATAGAGGAGCAGGACAAGTAAGTGTCCGTGTAAACAGCTCCGAGCAGCTCCAACTTGCTATTGTTGCACTTGTTCCTCTCTTCAAGAAGCTACTTAGTTATTATTCCCAGCAAACGCAATATGGACAATGATGAAGAAATTTAGGCTGATTTTCACTTCCATCCCTTTGCAATGGAGTATTAGGAAATGATGATAGTCACAGAACACGTTAGAGCGAGTTGAAAAGGTACAAAACTTGATTTATCTTTGGATCTATATCTGCTTTTTCCTCGGAAATTGATTGCTGATTTCGATATTTTCATTTCKAGCAAAATCTCTTAATGGGTTTCTCATGTTTGATATGCTTTTGGTTTTGAAGGAGCTATGTCTGCTCTTGGGTTTGAAAATCAGAAGACCAAATTGTTGGAGGAAAGTTTGTCTTAAAATAGCAAGAACATAACACGTTTCATTTTCTGATATATAAGTTCAGTGGTTGTTTTTCTTCTATTTCTAGAACCTTGTGATCTCTCTTATGAATGAAGAATATCTATTTTTGTTCAGGCCCTGTCTGGTTTAGTCTCCTCTCTAATCAATGGTGCATTAAATGATCATATATGTGTGAGATGTAAACGCAGAGAGGCTTCACTTGCATAAATGGAAGTATACACAGAATATAATTATAGTCCATAAATTCTCCAATGAATCCAAGTAGACTGTTTATAGTGTTACAAAAGAACACGAGCAATGAGAAAAAAAAAAGGTGAAGAGTATATAAATAAGAAAAACACACCCAATCACTTGCAAATTGTGAATTTGCAAGTCCCGGAATTCGCCTTGATGAAACGGATAGCGGTCATGAGAATATCGTGCTGCGAATTCCCGAGGAGAGCCATATTGGTCTGTGTGATCACAGCGATGGAAGAATAAGGAAAGCCAAGAGAGTTGTATGAATTGAGTAATGCAGTTGTTGCTTCTCTTAGGAGAGTCTTGTGGGCTTCTCCTCGACCATCTAGCGCTTCCCGTACAGTCATATCAGTCCCGTATATCCTCCCTGCTATTAGCCCGAATGCAACCGCGACCTTCGTGTCGGGACCTATCACCCTCCAGTAGCATCTGTACTCGGGTCTTATCCACAACCTATACAAGTCACAAAGCCAAAAATGTTATGAAACTATTTAAACCAGAGGTGGGCATAACCGGCTAGAAAACAGAGCAAACCAAACGACAAAAAAAACAGAACCGAACTTAAAACCGGATGCCAATGCCTAATTTGAAGTGTAGTAAGGAAAGAATGAAAGAGAAAGCTCACTGGTGAGAACAAGCTGAAGTCTCAGCAAATGGTATTGGAGGAAATGGAGGCAAAGGTGGAAGCTTAAACTGAGGAGGCGATGTAGTTGGAGGAGGAATGTTGACAGGGACCGGAGGAGGAAGTATCACCGGAGCCTGAGGGGTTGGAGGCAAAGGTGGAAACTTAAACTGAGGAGGCAGTGTGACTGGAGGAGGAGGCATAACCGGATTTGGTGGTGGTTTAGGACAAGAAGACAGGGGCTGAAGCGGCTGAGCGAGAAGTGGATCCACAACGAAAGATTCAATCCCCCAAAAACCGAACAATAGTTTAAGTTTCTGTGGAGGACCAGAAGCAATGCTGCAACTAGTTGAGTCTTGTTGAGCTCCATTGTCTGAAACCTGAGCATAACAGTTGCTCAGATCCGGTGTACCATCAAACCTCATTACATATCCTCCAAGCCAATTAGTAATCTCTTCTCTTGCTATATACACCTGTCCATTTCCATCAGGACATGTGACACTAATCTTGACTCCTGCAAGAAATCAAACAAACAATAAATCTTTAAGAACAAACAGAG